CTGCAATGTCAGTCATCTCATTCAGAAGCTACTTGCCACATTCTACATGTCAGAAGTATTCACATCCTCCCAACACATGACCCAGATTCTTTTGCACAGAGCTAACCAAGCCCTGCACTGTCAAATGCAGACACACACACACACACAAAACTGTCTAAGTCCATGCAACAGGCCATTCACTCTCAACAGCTCTTACCTCGGCTTTCACCCTCTCCAGCTCTGCTCTCAACAGCTCGAGTTCCCGCTTAAGGGTCTCAATCTGGAGGTCCCTGCCGGAGAGAAAAGAGTCACATTCAAAGAAACTCCCGACACCATTGAAACAATGAAGGCTCGCAGTTAAAAACAGGCTAGCTCACCTGTCATCAAAGCCTCCATTTGGAGGTCCGAAGGTTTGATCAAATATGTCCACTTGCTGAAAGCGGGAATCAGTAAATGTAACAGACAGCTCACACAGCAGTATGGTAACACCTGAGTACTTGAGTGGGTGTAGCATGCTGTACCTGCGGCTGAGCCTGTACGCTGGAGGTCGTGACGTTGTCGACCTCGATGAGCGGCTCCGGCTCGTCATCGTCGTCATCCTGCATCTCTGGTTCATCCTCATTGGGGATGACCACCACTGGCTTCACGTGTTTTGCCAGTGAGGCTGCATGCAGGAAGTTAGGCGGGGACTAAGAATAGAAGACATTAAATGTTATGTACAGATTTCTGCAAATTTCAGACTGCAGATGTCAGTAGGGGGTCTGTGATGAAGATGTTGATGCCCCAAAATGGAAGCGGTCACTATTATCATCCTGCCTCCCCTCTTCCCCCTGTGTTCTTACTTCAGGCAGCTTGGGGATCTGGATGAGTCTCTTGAAGTAGATCATCTCTTTGGCTCTATTGAAGAAGTTCTTAAGCCTGGAGGACAAAAGAAAAACAAGCTTAACTTTAATATTCACCTCATATTTATGCACAACGACAAACTTAGACATGTGCTACACATACTCTGCAGGCTCCATTCTCTTCTTACATTCGATCACTTTGTGCTTTATAAATAGCTTTAAATTTTGTGACTTTGTTACTCGACTGTGACAAAGAGAGACAAATACCCTGGAGCTCCCTCTGAACCTTATGGCTACTGAACATAACATAAATGCATCTGTGTCACCACCTGTGACAAAGTGCGGGGGGGGATGCATTTGCATTAGTTCCAAGAGCTGCGGGGACTGGGAGCGGCAAGATTAAGTTGCAAAGCTTCCACAGGTATTAAAAACTTTTAATGCAGTCACCCCTCTTTACTCATAGCCACCTACTTGTGGAACTGGTCGTGGAAACGATCACGATGTCCTTGCAAAGTATCAGCAGGGAGACCTAAAATTGATGAAATGGTCCAAGCATTTAAATCATTAAAGTGACAGAACATTAAACGACATTTGATTAATGAATAATAATCGTCTTTACAGGCGTGCAGCTTGAACAGCAACTTGACGGCAAAGTGGTAGAGGTGACTGCAGTCCTGGATGACCTGGATCAGCGGAGCCAGGCGACACTGGCTTGATGTGAGAGTCGTCATGGCGAGGGACGAGTTGAGCTGTCGGAGCACTGATAGAGAAAAAA